GTTATTAAAAATCAAAGTAAATTTTGCTCATTTATAATGATTATCGACAACACAACAGATTTTTGGTCATTGTTAATAATTATTTGTAACTAAAAACATTGTAGTCAAAAAATACTTCTTATCCTATGACTGTTTTTCATTTTGGTTATAATTGTTATGGTCTCTGGTTTAAACATCGTGAGCTGAACGTACACCGAAAGCACAAACATGTATGATATACTCAAAAAATAAATATATTTGTGCAAAAATGTTTTTGTTCATGTATGTAACATTTTACATGTATTCTTATTTAATAAACTATATATAATTTGAGATATTATAATATCAACTTGATTTCAAAGTCATTAGATCACTCAAAAAGTATATATAGCGTAAAAGTACATACATATAGCATTTTTACAGAAAAATCAAAGATAATATTACGAATGCGCTCAAACAATACTTTTTGAACAATCGCCAATATTATGTAAATTAATATACATATGTATATATATGAATTTTTGTATATCATATATATAATTGTTATATTTTATGTACACAAGAAGCAAGCAAATATATATATACGTGTCTTTTCTTCGAGAGACCGTATCATATCAATTTACATATAAAGTTATGACAAATCTATAGCAAGATCAAGAGGCACGGTAGTGCCTCGCGCCAAGTTCACGCGCAATGAAGTCGCGCGCGAACGAAGCGAGCACTCCGTGCTTCTATTACGCGAAAATGAGTAATTTTGACAGTTGCGGAAATATGAAATATTTATATTTTATCAATGATCGAACCAATCGACTTCTTTTTAATCTCAATCGATTCAGAACAAAAACATTAAAAAAAAGTATTATTGCGGTTTTTGTGTTTGTGTCCTCTAATTGGAAATATTTGATAATAACGTTTTGACAGTGAAAACTTCACGTTTTCATGGTTTTCATGGTCGTCGTGGGATCGGAATTAGTGCATGTATATAATACAAAGGTTTTGCAAAATAGACCTTTTATAAATTGTTTTTATAAATACCAGAAAACAACTCCTATAAATCCTCAGGATTGACTTTTATATATAAAACTTTTCCTCTTCTCATAATTTGCAAATCTATTGGCCCTGGTTGTTCTAGAATCTTGTAAATGGCTTGTGAATTCCATACAACCTCACCATTGGCGTGCGTCACTATATCTCCAGGCTGCAATCCAGCTCTGCAACAATCAAATTTGTGCAAAACACATCACGCTTATAATTTTTTCAATACCAGACACATCTCTGTAATATTCAAGTTTAAATATGTGCGCTGACTTACAAGTGAGCCGGAGATGAAACCATTACTTTCCACACGAAAACTCCATGCCTGACATTCATATAGTCGCTGTGTTGCTGCATTTCAAGCAAAGTCTCTGGCGTCAGAGTTTGCATTGTGATGCCCAAGTATCTTCTCTTAGGTTCGTGAGTGATCAAATCTATAAAAATAATGTGTAATAAGTATAGAGGAATACGGAAAGCTTAGAGACAAAATTTAAACGGCTATACAAAATTTGACTCTAGTTACTTTTGCCTTTTCGACGACATTCCGCCTTTTTCAAGAACTCTTTTGCATAATCTATAGGTATAGCAAATGAAATGCCAGACGTCACTTTCATTGCGTTTATACCTATAGCTTCTCCGTTTAAGTTCACCAGTGGTCCACCTGAATTCCCAAACTATAAAAAATGTGTTGATAACAAAAAATCAATAGGACAGAATAGTTGATATATTCCATTCAAAAATTAATAAATTACTCACAGTAATTGCTGCATCTGTTTGAATGTATTCCATGTGCGAGTGTAGACCAAGTTCTTCACTTTGTCTACTCACACTGCTCACAACTCCACTTGTTATTGTATTGCTAAGAGACAGTGGAGAACCAATAGCTACTACAAACTCTCCTGGTCTGATGGTTGCCGAGGTACCAAGCTTCATCACAGGTAGATTTGTCTGTGTAGTCAGAAATTGTGAAAGAAATTTTAGTACACACAAATTTTTTATATATAAGAGAATAGAACTGTCTCTTACCTTTTTTATTCGCACAGTGGCAAGATCACTTTGCATATCAACATCTTCTATTACTCCTATGTATGTATTACCATCATTAAGTCGTACCTATATTAATAAATAAAACTCAAATTGTTTAAAATAATAACACACAAGAGAAAAAATCAACAAACTTTATACATGTATAGGATGTTTGGAAAAGGAAATAGGATTCTTAGGAGAACTCACATTTACCTGCACTGTTGTATTAGGCTTATTTATCACAACATGAGCATTTGTAAGTATTAAACCATCTTCACTAACAATAAATCCAGATCCATTACTGGTAGTAGTTGGCTTTCCTGTAAAGAAGTCTAGCCTATTTTACAGTTAGCAGCAATTAGTACATATCCCATAAGCATTATTGCTGTAATGTATCTTAATATAATGCATAACATCTCACAAAACATAACTCACAAGAACAACATTGTTCTTGTGATTTATTTATAAGACTATTATCTAGAAAATAACAGAATAAATGATCTTGTGCAATTAAAATTAGTAATTGACCTTCTATTATCCTTGATTTCGATGTATACCACAGATGGGACACAAGTCTCTACCACATCTGCTATAAAATTGTACTTGGACCTGTTCTGATTATCGTTCAGCGAAAGAGCATGAACATGAAGATCGAGCACTTTGAAATTCTTACATATCCGTTGTATGTAATCTTCCCAGATAATGTTTAATGTGTACCCAAACAGCACTCCCACCGGGGCAAGCGCGACATAGGTTAGGAGTCCCGGCATTCTGGAATCGTTCATGTTTTGTCCTCGCTGTTGCTGACAGAATGTGCGAATTCTCGCGTGCCGTTTGTTAAGCACGATCGTCGCTGCTCGCGTCGTGTTTCTCACAAGAAATATCCACGGCAATCGTGACAAGGGAGACGCCATTTTTTAGACCGAAATGTGGAGTCAGGTTAGGTTAGCTAATCAAACGACGAATTTCGCAAAACTGTAAAATTTAAACGCGCACGATTACATCGCACGTCCATTTTAAGGCACTGGCGCATTAAAAATCATGTCAGTTTATTGTAATATTGAAAGACTTTTACTGGTCGCGCCAAAATACATGTGTAAAAAATTGAGTGCCGAGCACTTTGTTAGAAATTTGCCTAATCGTGTCTAATCAACTGTAATCGATTAATCGCATCGATCGATTAGCTATATTTTGCGTTTGAGTTTGCGTTTCCGACGACTCGTCGTCGGCAGTGGGTTTTTAATAGAGACTTTCCGAGCTTTTTTTCATTTCTGGCAAGATAAGAATATTTTATCGCCTATCTATTAACGTAACCGGTCCAGTGGTCTCGCGGCTTGAGTGCAGGGGCTGCGAACCAAGAGGTCCCGAGTTCGAATCTGCTTATCACCTAAGGATTTTTTTCCGGCCTCCTTCAACCGATTTATCAGTTGATCAGCGAACTAAATTGGGCCTCCAAAAATTAATTCAAGTGTAATCCCGAATTAACCGGTCTGGAGGTTCGCAGCCTAGGGGGTTATCAGGTCTGTAGAGAGGTCCCACCCAGCAAACACAAAGTAACAGTTAATGTTAAAGTAACATTAATGTTATAATTTCCCACTCAACAATGTAACTGCTACGTACAAAGCATGTTACATTGCAGTTACATCGCAGTTGAGTGGGAAATTATAACATTAATGTTACGTTACTGTTACTTTGTGTTTGCTGGGCAGGTTCTCGAATCCTTATTTTCGGATTATTCTGGCCGGTTCTTACAGTCGAATACGGCTCCCCAAAGCGAAGCTTCCTCCGAGGGATGGGCGCCCAGGGAGATTGACTCCCCAGGGCGAAGCTTCCTCCAGGGATGGACGCCCAGGTAGATCCAACTTATCGACTGAAATGCGAACTGAATCGGGGCCTCAAGAGCAAGAGTCACAGAGGAACTCATAAAAACAGATCTAACTCAGCAAACACAAAATATAACTACTACATAACATGGAAGTAACATATAATGTAACAGTTGTTATACTTGATTTATATTGAAATTATATATAATTTTCTCTTATTTATGCAATATAACTCTGTAATGAAATTATTATATAGTTTGTTACTTACTGGCAACAACGAGATAACAATAATGTATATGTAATGTAACATGTTATATGACAAATTTTATGTCTGCGTTACTGTAATGTGACAATTTATATAGATATGATCGAGTGATTTATTGGTGAATAGAATTTGAAGATTCTATATAAAAAAAAAAGATATGTATGGTTGTGAAAATATATATTGATTAAAAAAAAGATATGATACCTTTAGTACAAACTATTATAGAAAGTGAAGTGAAAAAAAACAGTCTCGTGATGTATTTTATGAACATGTTATGTCAAAGCCTCAAGCACGGGCGTTCTTAGAATTGTCTGGTCAATGCAGAACCAAGCGTCTTGGTCAAAGCTCAAATAGACATTTGAGACGAATAAAACATTTTGTTTGTATCTTATATTATTGTAACGTGTGAGCGGGCACTTCCTCCCCGTGAAAACCTAATCTAAAAAACCTAACTAATCTATTCTATATATGTCACTACGATACAGTAGCGTATAATAAAAAGTACGCTAAAAAAACTATTTTGGGTTTTGACCAAGACGCTTAATTGTTTCGTGCATTGACCAGTCAATCTTAGGAACACCGTGCTTCGGGCTTTGACCATTTTTTAAATAGTTATAGTACTAGTTTATAACAAATAAAAATAATTATATAACACTTACATTAACAATTAATTAATTTATATCGCAGTTATGTACCAATTTAGTAATCTATATAATATAGTAATCTATATAATTGTTATATAATCTTTCAGTTACTACTGCAACAGTAATATAACATTTTAGTAACATGTTATAGTCAGATTATATAACTGTACTTTGGTATGAGTGGGAAATTACAACTAACGTGAACGTTACATGTAACAAACACGTTATATTACTTGTTACTTTCCGTTTTATTACGGCAATGTTACGTTCATGTATCTGTGTTGCTGTCACTTAAGTGACATTTTAGGAACTTTTGTAGTCTCACCCGCTCCAAATATATCAGTATCAGTATCAATATCAGTATCTATTGATGTATGACATTGTTTGAAACAAGAATCTGAAAAAGTCTCCAACGATGTTTTTTTGCAGGTGTTGCAAACGCCTCTGATTTTAACACCAACACGCCGATGTACGAAAGTTTTTTATTAATATGTAAAGGTATTATTTTAAATGTGGGAAAAAACAGAATTCACAAATATAATCTTGGTTTAAGTGGCAATTTGTTTTTTTGCGTTTTAATTATTTATTTCGTCATTAATACAAGTATATAGTTACATCTTTTTATCGATTCGAAATGTTTTGTGACAATTATGGAATGAAGTCTATTGAAGTATTTCATTGGAAACTTCGCTGCCTGAGAGATCAGCATCGATTTTGCGATTGTTACTGTCAAAAATTTTGCAGGATGAATCGACATGGCAGGATTCTGTAAAAATGAATGAATCATACATTTTTTTGTGATCACTCACTGATCACTCAATGATTTTTAAATTTCCTTTTTTCTGTGAAATGTTTTTTTTATGTTCACCTTGCGAGCAGCAAATTCCGTTTGTAGCACATCTTGCGGTATTTCCACGACACATTGCGTATCCAGCAATGCAGGGTCTGGAATATAGGCTTTCCTTTCTACATCTGTATGTTTCAGGTGTACCTAAGAAACAGCCAATGCTGGGGCCACAGCAGATATAAGGCCCGAAGCATTGACCCAGACGATTAGGACCACATGAGAGACACTAGAAGAAAGTAAACATGAATTAATAATTAATAAAGTAAATTAGTAAAGTGAAAAAAACACAAACGTAATTATAAATGTATGACTAACAATATAGTGGAAGTATAAATTACATATTTGATATAATTATATATAAATTATACACATGTAATTAAAATTATTGTAATTACATATTAGATATGTAATTGAATTACATATATATACACATATATGCAATTTAAAATTTTTAAAATTTGATAAATTCAATATCTCTAAAACATTTATATAAAATAGACAAAGATAGAGATTTGATCATTTATCTTCAAAACCATTGCTAGATAGAATTTAAGAAAACTGGCTATTGAACCAAATAAAATAATATTGTTTAAAACAAAAGAAAACTCACTTCTCGGGTTACAGTTCCTAAAGAAGATGCAATGTCACTCCTTTTTCCACCGCGAGGACAATTTGTAATCAAACAGGCATAACTCAAAAAGACTAGACTCGCCAAAACAACAAGTTCTTTAAGCATTCTGAATAAGATGTTTGAAGGATTGTTCTCTTAGAATAATGTATCGCCTGTCAGAAAAACACTGATGTTGCTCGAGGAGTTCCGTCGATTATATACATATCGTTAGTATTTGAAATTCCTATAGAGTATTCCGAGACATAGTTCGAATATTCCTACTCACAATGGAGCACTCTGGGGATTATGAAAATCTAAAATGTCTATGGAATAAAATATGATTTCTCATTCATTGTCGGTAGCTACACGGTTTTCGCTCTATCTTCAAAGATAAAAAACGCGCAAATAATATAAAATGCTCTTAAATAAGTGAAAACTAAGATGATTAATATATTACACATTTCTAATCACAATATAGCACGTTTTTTATTATGTCTTCAGCTGATTGTTACACGTATTATGAAACCAAGAAAAATTGAAATATCACAAATAAATCAATAGAAAGCAAAACCCAGCATTTATATTGTTACGCGAGGGGCACCGTGTATGTGTCGCGGGAGCCGCCTGAACGGCGTGCGCTCGGCGCGACTGTTCGTTGCCGGGCGACCAGCGAGTTGTTGTATTAGAGAGTCGCGAGATCTGTCACGTTGCGTTTTCGGAC